TACATACCTTGCAAGGATAGTAAGGGGAATTGAAAAGTTTCCCAGAATAGCTTGCAAATACGGTGCAGTTCTGCTCGGCGGGCTTGCAAACACCACAAGTGCTCCGTTCAAAGCATCGCACAATCCAATCGCAAAGAGAAGTTTATGTGGGAAGCGACGCTCTGCTGGACCAAAGAAATGAGGATAGAAGTACACAAGAATAGCGTACATCAATCCAAATATAACAACAAAGGAAAGACTTGCAAATGACAAGACAAAATAGGCATCCATTTTAGCGACGTAACTTGGTGATGGTGAGGTTGTGTTTGCACTTTTGTGTTTGGACTGCGAGGCTGACAACCAAAGAGGAAGGCTGACATTTTGACCAACTTGACCGGCAACCGCGATGAAGGCAAAGCATAGGTTCGCTTCAAATAATGTCAACCGGAAAAAGTACAAGTTGAAATATTTTTGTTCTTTTTTGTTCTGCATTTCGCTGCTAACATGATCTTGACTTCTCTGAATATTCTCCATTTTATTGAGCCTATATCGAGGTGATCCGTCCGATCAATGTGTGGTCGATTGATGGTCGCTTGGGTGCCAACTAATGATATTGCGTCATGTACATATAAAAGTCATATGACAAAGCCGTGACGAGAGAAGATTGACRAGCACGAGAATGATCATAAAACGTTTTTAAAAATAGATATATTTTTAACAATRCATTCGAAAAATACTTTTAATCTCGAAATGTTTCGTTAAAAATACCGCAAAAATGCCGAAACATGTCAAGATTAATAGTACTTTCGTACATCTATGWAACAATAATAAGCTACGCTTTGACCTTTACTTGGGCAAAATTCACGACAAGTCTGACTTATCTGTGTTAGGTATATCAATTTCTTTTGACAATGATTTTCTTAATAATCAATATTTTGAATCACGCGTTTGATTTCGAACCAAATTGCATTCCACTCAGTTCAGTTACCATTATTAATATCCGGTCATTGGRCTGCGGGTGTAGACTAACCTTTAATCTAATGTAAGARAAATTTTTAAAAGAAAAAAMATTAAAGGTCTTAAGAGCCGCTTCGCGCAAAAACCAGACAAAACTGAAATTTTTTGGCAAGGCTCGAAAAATCAAATCTATTCATATTTTGTATATTGATAAGGTATGATTTGGTAACAATCGCTGTGTAATTGGTTTTTGAAAATATTTCATTTTTCGCAAGAAAATCGCTAATTAATGTCACATACTGGACCTTTGCGTGACAGATGCTTGATTGCTAAAAATAGCTCTCAAAATAGCCAAACTTTAAACCGAGTTTATGTAAAAACTAAAATAGCTATTTTAAAAATTTAAATTGCAGCTTTCTCACWWACTCTTTGATATTTATTTCAGTGATTTTCAGACCATTTAATTAAAAGGAAAATTTTCTGGAACTCGAAATATTCGCATATGTATTTTTATATGCAAATTAGTACCTTYACAAAACGATCATTTTTTAAACGTGCAAGTATTTTGTTTGCAATARAATTCRGAGTGATTACTAAACAAGAGATGAGCTTTTCAAATACATAAAAATTAGTCTGGGCAAATCACTCTCAGTTGCATAGAAATGAATACTTCTGGCGATAATAATCCATTGAAAGACCAAATGTTTTAAACAACCGAAATTCATATACATTGCCTAAAATGTTCAAAGAAAATAAGCTTAACCCTTTTTATTTCAATAACATACGTTTAATGTTGATTAGATGTTTATATGCTTTGAAAATTGTTGGGTTAATACAACTGACAAAATATGTGTTTACGCTGATAATTGTGACT